CAATTAATGCACGACAATCAGAGATGGTAGCAATCAATACAGGAGGATAGGTTAATCACAGGTGATGTCCAGAATAATGAAGGGAGCCAGGCTGAGCCAGGCTGGCTGGGTCAGCAAGAGGGAAACACTTGGCAGAAGCTYATTAAATCAATAAACTAATAAAAGATTCATACTCTCCTACTGTTCATTTTATATGGTTGGCTGTCAACAATTTGGGGCAGAACGCCGTCTTTTTGGGCAACACCTAGGATGGTGGGGTGACCTGGCAGAAAGCCAGGTGTCCACCTGAGCTGGTCTGTCACTTCCCTCCCTCAACTGGACATAGGAGGCAATGGGCTTAGAGTTTAGCTAAAGACAGGGAGAGACCACTCTYCAATGACTGTCACAGGCAAAACAGGCTCAACTTGGGGAAAATCTGATTTATTACTGATCAAATTAGAGTAGGATGGTAAGAAATAAAAGAAAATCTTAAAAATACCTTCCCCCTGTCCCTTCCTTCTTCCCAGGCTCAGCTTCACACCTGATTTGTTCTATCACTTCCCCCTCAGCAACAGAAAGGGACAAGAAAYTGGGGCCAGAGTCTCTGCTGTTCCTTCACTTCTCAAGAGGAAGACTGCTCATGCTCTTTGCCTGCTCCAGTATGGGGTCTCTCCCACTAAAGACAGTTCACAAACTGTTTCAATGGGAGTCCTTCCCACAGGCTGCAATTCCTCATGAACTGCTTCCGTGTGAGTCTCTGTGTGGTCACAAGTCCTGCTACAAAAACTGCTTTAGACTGGGTGCCTCTCTCCATGTGTCCCCAGGCCCTGCTGGAGCCTGCTCTGGGTCATTTCCCTGGATCATATCCCTGTCCCAGGGTCACATCCTTCTTTTGGGCATCCACCTGCACTGGCATGGACTCCTCCATGCACTGCAGGGGGACAGCTGCTCACAGGCTGCAGGGAATTCTTCTGCACTTAGAGCACTTCCTCCCCCTTCTTCCTCACTGAGCTTTGGGTCTGCAGAATTGTTTCTCACATATTCTCACTCCTCTGTCCCTGATGCAGTTGTGCAGTATTCCCCCTCACCTCTTCTTACACTGATGGCTGATGGGCTCAGCTTTAGCCAGYAGTGGGTCCCTCTTGGAGCTGCCTGTCACTGGCTCTGTTGGACATGGGGGAAACTTCATGAAACCTCTCACACAAGGCACTCCTGCAGCCCTGGGCTAGCAAAATCTTGCCATATAAACCCATCCAGTAAATCTGATCTTCTGCAGATTGTAGCTTCTTTGCCCTTCTAATGAAAACCACCTCTACTCCCAATACTRGCCTGACACAGAGAAACAAAAAAAYGGTCAGCCTGAATTCTGACATTTAGTTTCTATGCTTTATCTGTAATACCATTCCTTGAACATACCCAACTATTCTTAAGTGGGATCCCATCACCAAACCAAAGYCAAATCCTGATACAACAGTATCCCAAACCAACCAACTTTGAAAGTTCTGGACACATGTTAAAATCTGACCATTGCATTAGTTGGTCTCAAAATAATGTTGCAASAAGACTTAAGTACTCAATAAACATATTAACTCTTGTTTGGCTTATGCCAGCTGGAAAAGATGGATGATGGTTTCACTGCATCTGCAAGCTTTCTAATTGTGTTACTGGATGGACTAGAAGTCTGGTAGCCATGGAAATCAAAGCCTTCATTTCTCTTTAGGCCAAGAACAGGCAACAGGAATGGAGACACAGGTCCAAGTGTCAGGACCAAGGGTGCTATCTGAGGTAGGGAACAACAGTGTATGTAAAGCTGAGGCTGCAGGCAGAGAGCATGGGGAATTACACATTTGTTGGGCAAGCAGCTACAGCAAAGGGAAGAAACACACCAGGAAAGCAAAAATATCTCATCCCTGGAGGCTGCTTCCACCCAAAGGGCTGCAGRCTGCCTGATGGTAAGAACAGAAGAGAGAAGGATACCTGCAAGGTGGCTCAGCTTATAGTTGCATGAATCACTATTTATAAAAGAAGATTTATAAATTTTTTCCTCTTATTTTTTATGCAACACACATGCCACAGAAGTGACATCACTACRACCTGATGAGATAAAAGAAATGATAAATGTTTTCTTATAGAGAAAACTCAAGGCACAAACATTAACATTAGCACACAGAGAACTTAATGAAATTACGCCTATGCTAATGCTATTTATAACACATGCTGATTTGGGAGAAAGTACTTTGATTTAAGGAATGGAAGTTTAATTAAGGTAAAACAAAAGTTTCCAATAATCTTGAAAGAATTCACAACCTGCTAATCTCCTTCACCATCCAATTCAGCTAATGCTATAACAGGATCAAGTGCAGCACTACGTACCTGAAACCTCCCGCAGTGCAGACAAGGCTGGCCAAGCTGTACCAGAGCACATGGCCTTCTCTAGGCTTGGGAAATAGGACAATTTGTCTCCTCAAAATATCCTTCCAAAAATGCCCTGAGTGCAGTGGGCATATATTTTCACTAGCCAGGACACAGAGGAAACTGAAGAAGGGATGTTGATAAAGTTGAGAATGGCAAAGAAAAATGGCCAGAGCCTAGACCTGCAGGCAGGTTCTGATGACATCCAAAAGAGCATTTCATGTGGCAAGTACAAGTTTTCTCTTGAGCAGGTTAAAATTCCAGTTAACATTTATATCTTCTCTCTGCGTGAATTCAAGTCATAGAGTTTGTATTTAAAACATTTCCTGTCTTCTGTTCCCATGGTACAGGTAGGCACAGATGAGGCAGCAGAGCAGAGTATCTTCCCCAGCCAGCAGAGCCATCTCCTACACTCCTGTGACCAACAAGGGGTTTAGAACTGGCTTGGCTCACAGCCAGTGAGGGCTCTGTMAATGTATTATAACAGTATTGAAGAGAAAGCTGATCTGAACCACGAGGTCAGGTCATGTCTCAAAGCTGTTTGGAAGAGAGGGATCTTTGCTTTATATAGTGAAAGATGCTGGAATCTCTGAAAGAAGATTTATCAAAGCTATTTTTCCAGGTCAGTTTTCAAAGTAAAGCACAATGCAAACTATCAACTTTGATTACAAAACTGCATGACTGGTATTGAAAAAGACAATAGAGTAAACTGCATTTTARTAAGGTCTGAATGTACATAGAAAGCAAAGACCTWCATTAAATAAAACCATACAGAGTASAGATGATACATATGAAGTTGCTTTCTGATTTCCTACACCTGATGCTTTCTCCATTGTATTTATCTGAGGGGAGAAGGGAGTGAGAACAGAAGACAGCTATGCCTTAGGCATTAAGAATGATGAGAGCACAGCTTTATAGTTTTTAAATGAAAAGCATGGCAACTTCCCTACTTCATTCTGCAGAATGAACTGTTCAAAAGATAATAATGAACTCTGCATCATCTAGAGGACTCAATTGTGCCTTCTGCCTGCTTCCCTAATCTCAGTCATCTAAAACACTCCTGCATCCAGAAGGACAAGTGAAACCAGCAACTAAAACACATCWGAGAAGTCAGAAATCATAAGGTCATTCAGCTGTAGAAAAGAATTTTAGATTTGAAAAAAAAAGGATGCAAAAAGAACATACATAGAAACCGACCAAGGACTGGGATTGAAGTCAGAGGCAAAATGCAAGATGTCTTATGACAAGTTCATTGACTGTGAAAAGAAAAAGAAATCCAAGCTCAACACACAAAAATAGTAAAGAGAAATTCTCTATTCCTTCATTCACCTTCCAACTTTCCTTCTCCTCAATTTGCTCATTCACCTCCCTGCAACTTACCGTCCCCTAAGGAATACCAGGAGGCAGCCCCTGAATTCTAACTGCATTTGCCATTCCACTAAAACCCATAGATTTAAATGAGCAAAATTAGCTGAATTCACCTATCAGCATTCTCTACAATACTAGGGGAGAAGCCACCTGAAGYTGTAGACGTGCTTTCTTTTGTTTATGTCTTTTAAATAATTCAGAGAGGAGCTGTCAAGTTGAATTTGCAAAGGTCCCTTGACTTTGGACTTATGCTATTAGACTGCTTGCCTATTATTTATAAAGACAAAACGGAAAACGTTACAGGATCGTATGGCTGATGGGAGGGGAGTCAAGGACTAGGAGAACAATGGCTGTCAGGACAGAAGTCATAAAAAATACAGATGGGAAAGCAAATGTAGGCAGTAGGTGAAATACAGACATACCAGCAAAACAGCAAGCTGCCAGTTTGGTTGTGCTAAAAATAGTCAATACTAACCATTTCTTGTGGAATAGGATGTTGTCCTAAAAAAAAAAGGAAAACCCCAAATGCAAATGGTAACTTTAATTAGCAATTAAAAGCCCAACTTCCCAGCTATACAACTGCAGCTGCCTCTCCCAGATCTGTCTCATCTCTCAAAAGCCATCAGGCAGTGGGCCAGGATTTTAACAATCATTCCCAAACCTCAGACAGGATAATTCCATCCTTTCTTTCCTTTTTTTCTGGGCTCTTTGGGCAGACAAAGATTTACAAGGTCCTACCTTGGGACACCAGCAAACCACAGGCGATGCCCCTGGCATCCCAGGGAGCTCATACATTTCAAGGTGCCTTTTAGAATTTTTTTTTAAGTGACTCTTTGGCATGCACAGCTCTGGTGGGGTTTTGCACAGTCATTTTCAATCAAAGCTGCAAACCTGACTTCACAGCAAATTACTGTTTCTTGAAGCAGCAAGAATAGAGAGGGGAGGGAAAACTCAGGACGTGCAGCCTGCTCCACTCATGCACATCCCTCCAACCAGAACGCAATCACCTCTACAGTCAGTTTGCCAAAACTAACAAGACTTAAAAAAAAAGAGCATTTTAATATAAAACCCAATAACTGTGATTACRGTCTTGCTCTAAGCTACTGAGCTGGATTAACACTTGGAAATTATCCTTAGCTCTGGATRTTGCAAACAAAATCCTGCCCAAGGTCTGTCCCCATGCGGTGGGGGAATGCTGAGGATGCTGCAGGAGCTCTCTTAGCACATTGTAGGATGGCACACRTGTATGGAGGGGAACGATCTGATTTAGTTGTCTGTCCTAAAGCAGACAGAGACCTCCATTTTGCTCTAGGAAGACTGCAAGAGTGGACAAAAAAAAAATTATTTTGCCCATGACTGGTCCCAGCAGCTTCCAGTCTTCAAAAATTTCATGATTACACCAGCCTTTTATACACTGTCTTTTATCCTGGGCTCCTGACCGTATCAAATCCTAAATGAAACATGATGTAAGGCATGCAAATAAGCTGAAGAAAAAGAGGATTCACATAATAGGAAAATATCATTAAGTGGAAAAGTTTAACTCAGAAGGTCAAAATCATTCTAACCAGAAGAAAGATGCTGCACGGGGCACACCCACMTGCCTGAAAGCCTTAAATGTGGTGCCAATGGTGCATTTCTTACTCACTCAGTGACTGCCAGCCAACAGCAGGGCCTGGAGCTGCAGTGCCATTAATAGGTCCCTAAATTTCTTAGCCTTGAATGCACTCCTAAACTCCAGGGAACAGCTTGCCAATGGTGTGTTGCCTGCCAGCATCCCTATGACATGATGCTGCTTCACCCCTCCCTGACCCCCTCCCCTTTTTAAAAAAAAAATATTTCAAATGAGGTACATGCATCTGAAATAAGCAGTGCCAGCTCCCAAACTTTACTGACCATTGTCTGCTCTCAGGTAAGAGCCCTGAAATGAAAAGAGGGGCTGTCAAGTTCCGATGTCACAGCCTGGAAATTCTTGAATTAGCTGTATCCCCCCATACTCCCTCCTTGCCCTCCAAGGGCAGTTGATACTGTAACTCAGTTCCAGGCTGTAACTGGAGATTCAGGATGACCTTACAGATCTACACACTTGCTGGTGGAAAACAAGAGGTTAAAAAAAGACAGTAATTCTTGAAAGCATGTTTTTGTTGATAGCATCATTGTGTRGGCAGTGAGCACTTGAGGCTAGCAGCAAAGGGGAGCAGTGGATCTGCTGGACACATTGCCCAAAGCTGGAGCTTGTCCTCCTCTGGGTTCTCAAAGAGGAAACAAAGCTGTATTGAGGTGTTTCTTTGTCCATCCTGGCTACTGCAGAAACCCAGGAGCAGCTCAGTTAATGGYAGAACTTAAACCCATCAGAAGCTGTTGCAAGCTGAGTGAGCCTTTTTATTGCATGCCAAAGTAATTTCTAGCTAATACACTATACAGATTTAACCCATTCTGTGCTACACCTCCTAACAACTTTATTCCAAAAACCAGAAAGCATTTTACWTTCAAATGAGGCAGCAAATGAGTGAAAGGCATCTCTCTCTGTATAATGTTCTCACAAGCAACTCTCACGCTTGTGATTTCTCAGCACTGTGAGACCGAAGTGAGATCTGGGTAATGTTCTACATCACTGTTTAAGAACAATTCAATCATCTTTGTTCTGGATTAAGTCTTGCTCCCGATTAAATTTAACAGAGCAATGAATAGGAAACCCATGACTAGGGAAGTAGGCAGATTTTATCTTTAAACCCAATTCACAAGCAAAATCRTCTCTCTTACAAAAGATAATTCTGMTACTGTTCAAGTTATTTTCACACAGTGACTATAAAAAAAATATCTCTAGATATCTCAAATGGAAATAACTGTTTTTAATGCTCCCTGTCACTCTGAATGCATGCTAAGACTAACAATACTGCATCAAAAAAGAATACCTCAACAATCAAGAAATCCATTAAGTTACCAATTACACTAACAGAAAAAAAAAGTTGAAAAAGACTCAAGTATATGAAGAAAAAAATTTATCTACTGGGTTTTCAGGAGTGAACAAAACCCCTTGTGTTGCACCACAGTACCTCTGATTTTCTAATACACTTCAGCTACGTAAATATTAGAATACAAACCCCACCTTTGCTGACAAACGGTAAGAGAAGACAAACACTTCCGGCATTTGATTTTTTTTTTTTAGTTAATCTGCTTCATCCTCCTTTGATTTTAGATATTCTTTCTGAAGAGGTGTTGCTGTTGACTCATTCTTCAACTGACACCACCAGAGCTGAATCACGTGGCAGGTACTCCCTGCTTTTCTCTGAGCCTGGTGATGCTTAAAATGTCTCAGAGCAGAGACTGTGAGAAATACAGGACAAAATACAGGGGATATAAGAAAATAAAAATTACTGTCCTCTGTCAGGACTACATTTCTTGTCACAGCAAACTCACATACACTGCTACAAACACCAGTAGAAARGCTTCCACCAAGAGTTCATTATCATGTCCTGCCCTACCTAGAGGATCCAAGGAAGAGATACAGGATTGTATAATCAAATGGGCTCTAAAATTAAAAAAGCCACATACAGAGCACATATGCAGTACATGTTTGTGTGGATAAGGAGAGACAGAGATGTTGGGGTTTGATATCACATTCATTACRTCATTAACTTTGATGTGTGATGAGCTGGGCTCAAATTCCACATTCACGTGTTATCTGAAATCAATGCAGAAGTCCCAGCCTGACTGAAAATACATCATAAACCTACCTCAAATCTGTTTGCAAATCTGTTTGCAAAGGAAAACAGCAGAAACATGAACATCCCCATCTCACTCCAGAATGGGTAATTCCCAGGTTCACAATGAATAGCAAAATCAAACAATTCAGTGGTGGGCTGAAAAGGAGACTGTCCTTGTCCCCACTGCCATACTCAGCCAGCTCTGCTGTTGAGGGAAAACCAAGGAGCATTATGGCAGGAAGAGAAGGGATGGCTGCAGAGGATGGCTGGGAGTCATGGAGAAGGTGGGAGTTCAAGGATATGCTGGAAGAGCAGCAGCCAAATTGTATCCCTTYATCCTGTAACAGGACATCTAGCAAACATTTATGTAAAAGAGATGTCCAAAGCAGTATTTTYCTTAAACAAACCTCTGAGCCTCAGAGTGATTTTCTAGTGCGGCTCTTTACTTACTTTGGAAAGTTRAATACATATATTCTTAAGTTTTGAAGTAAAGAAAACTCCTAAGCTCCCAATGCYGGCTGCTGCCTGCTATAACACTAGAAGGAAAGTTTTGCAAACTGCTAACTCCCATTCTATTTCCAATTTACCAATAATAACTTTTTTTTCTCCATGCATTTCCCAACAATTTAAATTTCTTCTATTGCTTTGTCAAGCAAAGCATGAGCCTGGGAAAAACAGAACACCAACAGCAAACGGAATCCTTTTGTATTAAATAAGGTCATTTGTCTTTCAGGTAATTTTCTCTCTTTTTGTTATTCCTGTTGGCCCAAATTTGTCTTTTCAAAAGCTGGAGCTAATGTGCAAGTTGTGAAACAAGACATGCAGAKAAGAACTATTGACCTATTTTAATCAAGGACATTTCACTCTAAGCAAGTCAAGACATTCCCCAAGCACACACTCCCCAGACTAGGGCAGCTTGCTGTTATTTGGTGGYTGGAAGAAACTTGGCCTAGTGCAATCTGCTTTGTAGAAGGTCTTTCTTGGAAGAAAAAAGGCAACGAGGTCTCAGTTGATCAACCTAGAAACYAGGCAGAAAGAATGATGTATGCCTGATTAACACGAGGATTCTTGGCTGGTGATGCTGAGCCTCTGCCAGCGTGGGTGGTGAGGAGGGACACAGCCTCTCCTCCTCCTGCTGCAGTTAATTTATGTGCTATCTGCACATCACAGGTAAAAGGAACTTTTATTTACTTAATGGATCTGAACCAAACTTTCTTCCCAGTAAACGTAACATTACTTATCTTCCCTTCAGTATCTCTCATCATTATAAACACTTGGGAAACAATGCTCCACCTCATCTGCAGCTCCCAAGGCTGCCCCAGCTGTACCTCTCTGCTTMACTTAATATTCTCTTCAGATATACTAAAGTAAAACTAAAAAATCCAGTACTGTACCAAACAGCTCACTTCTCTCCAGCTTTAGCAACTAGATAAGCTTTCTGGAAGTTATGGTGACATACAATGCCATAAGAGACATAATTATTTAAAGCAGCACTTCCCTCGCAGAATTCAAAACACCTCGTGCGAGGGTGAACTCCCATCAGCTGCACAACCCCAAATTTAACAGTGCCATTTCTGTCAAAAAGGCCCTCATTACATTACTAAACATAACTTTCCTGTCATACTGGCTTTCTCTTCCTTAGAAAAGACYGATTATTATAATTCTGTGTGTAACCTATATAAAATAATTATGTCTCCTAGGTAGTTTCAATTCAGACACAAAATTGCCTTCAAAAGAGAGACCATTTTCACTCTGTACACATACCTAGCTCATCTAGCATTAGCTAGAGTTAGAGCAGAACACCACCAAAAGAAATTTAAATGGGTTAAAAGCATACAAATCTTGTTGCTGCTAGAGAACCAGTCTGAGCAGTTGTTTTTGCAAGCCTCAATTCTTGCTTTATTAACATGCATCACAATTGGTATTAAGCTGGTCACAAGTTAGTGCATTTCAAAAGGCTTTGGGATTTTGTTACTGGCAACAGAAGGGCAGAGAGCACACAAAACCTCTCCAGAATGGATGCCCAAAGCCAAGCAGTAACTATATTAAGCACAGACGTACACAAAGTAAAGCTTTTGCAGAGAAAACTACCTATGCATAAATGCRTCTACTTCCCTTTCACCCAGAGGTTAAATTATCTGATCAAAATCTTGTGCTGGAAAGGAAAAAATCAGTTAATATTTTTTCCACTTCATTTAGACTCTGTAAAACATTAAATCCTGTCATTAAAATTGCTTAATTAGGAGTGCTAGAGCAAAAGGTTGATGCAGCTCATGAATTGTGACTGCTGAATACTATTGGCCTGGCAGGACTTGCCATCAATATTAGCACTGAAGAATGGGGAAAAGAAAAAAGAAAAACACAGTATTGTGAGGTCATTTTGACTGTATTTGAAGCAGTGTCACTTGTTAGAGGTAACGATGTTACAAAACAAATTGAAGCAGCAGAGACAGCAGACAACCCTCCCTTGTGGAAATGCTGTGCCTGCACAGAAGCTGGCTTCAAAGGCASTGGTGAGCCCAATGCCAGTGGCATTTCAAAACCTACCTCACTCTTGCTTTTGTCTTGTTGCTCTGAAACTGAAGTACTCCTCTAGCATTAAGTGCTGGGACACACAGCTCTAACCCGGTAGCTCCTTTCTTAAATTACCTCCTTCATCTGCTCTGTAGTACA